GGCCTGAAATACCTCCAGGCTATCTGGGGACAGGTACCCGTACAGACACTCTCTCTTACCCACACACACACACATGCACATGTGCACACAACAAACGGCTCTATGGGCAGAACTTGGATTCTGTAGGATCCAAGGCAGAAAAGCTGATTTTGTCACAGTGTTTGGGGATCAAGGACTCTGGGGTGCTAAATCAAGTTCTCACTTATGTCTCCTCTGCTTTGGCAGACCAATGGCAAACCATTTTAACATTATCCCTCCAGGATTTACACACCAAGTTAATGGGCATGATGCTTAAATGTCTGCAAAGTGCTTTGCAACGTTTTCTAAATTCTGTGGTGATACACACTGAAGAACAGCACAGACAGATTTAAGATATCAATTGCTGAGCATCACTGCTGTATAACTATGCCTATTTTTACATGCTCTATACATGGTTTCTACAAACAGATGGTAAGTGTTCAGTATTTGAATGTTTTAATGAGCTTTTCAAGCCTTTTTGTAATTTCATAAACAAGCATAAATAACACTTACATGAAGAAGAGTCTCTGCTGAATGTATTTTCTTTTCCTGTTTGAAAAAAAAGAAAAGAGAAAAAGAAAACGGGAAAATAATTTAAAGGAAAAAAAATAGATTCAGCAAAATAAGTCAGACGTTTCAATGCTATCATGCACCACGTTTTCTGAATTTTATCAGTAAAAACTTCTTTTTGAAAAACACCAAGACACTGAATGTAGTGCCAATGCCAAAACTGGAGATCATTTCTCATGAGTTTCATCCTATGTAGAACATCACTGGAGATATGACTATATCACTCTAAATAGCAGGACAATTCACTGCAACAGTGAAATAAAATACAAATGCCACGTGATCTGGATCAAAAAATGAAGAAATAAAAGAACTTTTAACTACATTCCAGCTCACAGATTGCCCTGTGGCTCAGTGTATGGGTTGTTCTCCTACCCATGAACATGAGACTTACACCAACACCTTGAAGCAGGGCCCTCCTGCTGCATTTTGGCACAGCAGGGCTGTTTTTTTCATGCCAGTGCCCAAGCACTGACTGAATTCAGGCCCAGGTTGGGCAGCCACAGCAGCGAAGGCGTCCTTCGAGGCTGTGACAATTCTGAGTGACAGAGAACCACAACAGGAAACCCAGCAACTGCTAAAATGCAGAACCTTCCCAACGGGCTTTAACAGCCACCTCCTGCAGCCCTGGGACTGCCACCCTGCTGCCACCCACCCGAAGCCTGCTGGCATTTGATTCACACTCCCCTTCCACCCGCTGAGCTGGTGGGCTCGGTGGATGCTCTTGGAACAGGGCTTAGGGGTGGCACTAAAGGGCTTTTCGCTGGTGTAAATCTCGACACATTGGAAAAAAAGGGACTGACAAAAATACAGAAGATGCTATAGGACACCAGCCATGGTTTCAAAGTCATGGACTGGCAGCACAGCAGCCCTTCCAACAGCCGGTTTTTGGGGGAAAAAGGACAGTGAAGAGTGACACGTTCAATTAATTTCTACTGTATTACCTTGTATCAACATTAGCTACTATGTAAGCAATTTTGAGGGTTTTTTTTCCTGAAATTTACATGCCTTGGGATGATAGTCAGCTCACACAAATCAATTAAATCCATGGCACTACAACAGCTGAGGGTTCAATTAAGTAGGCATGTATGGAAGAAATTCAACAAATATTAAATCACTGCATTTTCATCCTCATGCTTTTCTTCTAAGGGCTGAGGACCCAGTCCAAGCAGCCCCCAGCTAGTGTGCCATTGGAATAAATTTTAGTTCTGTGTATAGAGCTCTTACTGGAGTAGACACAGGATTACTTTTTAAAAAAATAACCCTGATCCATTCTGGTCACGTAAATTAAGTTAGTGATGAAAAGAAGTCGAAGGCAGTAATCTGACTGGGTAATCTATTCAAAGCTTCACTTCTTAAATGATCTACAATTTATTCACATGACCAATCAAATAAACATTACTTACAAAAGGTTGCAACTACCATGGTTTTCCCATCCATTTTTAAGTGTTGTAATTTGGTTAAATTTAAAAGAAACTAATCAGCATAAGCTTTTCAGAGTTGTTTGCCAGCATGATTAAAAAAACCCCTTCTGCAGGCAGGGCACCACTGCAGACTCCCCTTCCTGGTGGAACTGGCAGCACTGCCATTGGGGCATTGGTGCAACATTGCCTCACTGCCCACTGGGACGAAAATATGGGGCACTGGAAAACATAGAAGGGGAAAAATTAAAATAATAGGAGGTTGCTGCTAAGCCTTGATGTACATTGATGAAAATCCTAGGAACATCACTTCTGGAAAGTGCCCAAGAGTCTCTTTGGAAACATCCAGCCCATAGGACCTGGCTGGAAGCCACTAAGATACACTAAGAGTATTGATTAACAAAACTCACTGAAATATTAGCAATGATTAGCTGTACGACAAGATCCTCACCGAGGCTTTACAAACAGAACTCCACTCAGGCATGGGAGGTTTCCCAAGCACTCTGCAGCAAGAGCAAGCCAGCCTAAAGTGTCTTCCTAGTTTTCCAGGGCAAAGTGGCACCTCTTTTCTGCCAGCGTTTCACACTGACTGAAGCCTCCTGCTACTGCCCCAACATTTCACCTGTGACATGAAAGCTCCAGGCAACCCACCCAAAAGCCCCACATTTGAAACTACCAATATGACAAATTTGGTTCCTGGTTACAGCAAAAGGAAATAAAACAGAAATCTGTAACATTTTAAAGTTTCCAAATTTCTACCGGATTCCAGACCAAGATTCCTTCAGCAAACAAATCAAACGCCCAGCACCCCTGAGCACGCATCCACCCTCTCGGGGCCTACAGATACCACGGTGCCACCTGCGATCTTCTGCTTTTTGCCAAGTATGACAGAAATTAACCCTCACGGCGCGGGGTGAAGGAAGCAGGTTAATAAATGACAGCAAGAAGCGGCCTTTCCTCTCCCGGCCGCGGGGTCGGGTCCCCGGGCAGCTCCGGGCAGGGGAAAGGTGTCTGTCGCCCTCCGGTGGAAGCTGCCTTAGTGCACCAAGGGGGGAGAGGTGGGAAGGGACAGAGGGCAAATAAAGAGCAAATAAGACAAAAAAAGAACATGAAAAGCAGATAAGAAACAGTTGAAGGGGAAATAGGACGATAGTATCTCTGAAAGTACCAAAAGTAAAGTTTCCAATGCCAGTTTAACCAAGGCAACACAGACATCCTCCTTCCACATTCGTGCTTCAGACTCGACTTGGTCCAGGTGAAGGACACTGTCACTGTCACGCTGCTGGCTGCCTCAGCTGCTCACATATTTTGCTTAAAAAAACTCCAATAACCTTCAAGGAAACCTTTCCGTGACACTTGTGGCAAAGGCAGGCAATGGCAGAAAGCAGTCAGTTCGGCTGAACGCAGACCCAGAGGTAAGCACCCGGCTGTCAACAACCATCAGAGTTCTCACCAAAGCCTCTCCCATCGAATTCCACAGCAGCAGGTTTTAACGGGCTGATTTACCCTCAAACCTAAAGCCATAAAATCTAAACCGGTAGCAACTGTCATCCGAGCCCTGAATTACACAGCCGATGACATGCGTCCCCGTCAGGACTGCCCTCACTGTTTTGCTAGTCCAAAACTCAAAACATTTTCACATGCAAGCAATATAAAAAAAAAAAAAAGAAAAAAAAATGCAGTTACCGAAATAGCACTATCAACGTAACCAGCTCCTCTCGGCACATTTTCTTAATGCCTTTCCCAATACGGTTAAAAAACATGGGAACTAATCAAAAACCTCCATCTTTACACCTTGGTACAAACTGTGCTGGAATAAGTGTGGGGTTGTATTTCTCTGTGTTTATCTGGATCCTCTCCCACTACTTTTTCCTTTTTTTCATTTTCGTCTGTGCTTCCCTTTAAACATAGCTCTTACTAAATAGCAGAAATTAGCTTTTACAATTTCTAAATACCAAGTTTTGCCGCTCTTGAAGCTGCCTAAGGACAACACAGCTTGCCTTCAGTGTCATAAATAACACATACTCTGCACATTTCTTCGCCTGGGTGAAATAAATTCTCCCATGTTCTTATATGGAAACCTTGTGAGTCCTCCCACATACCTCCTGCTATAATACCAGGCAGCAATGGGCATTCATTATCTTAAAGCCAGCGGGTGAATTTTGGATCCAAGTTACCCCCAGACGAACCCAGAATTATCACCCTTTCGCACCACGCTGAGCTTGGTAACCTGCCCTCTGTAGTCCCTGTGTTTTATTTTCAAGCCCCATCACCACTTTGATTTCAGCATGTCAAGAACCCACAAAATAAAAGAAAAATGAGGGGAATAAAAAGGAAAATGAGGGAAATAACAAGAAAGTGGCAGCAGCGGTATTACCCACCAGGTAGGCCCATTAGCATCAGATGTAGCATTGCCTGTACCAGTCTCTTCACTCGAGGTTAGCGTACGGCAGACAGAGAAAGCACAGCGGGGAGGGGTGGGAAGGAGAGAAAAAATGGGTAAAAATAGTCGGGGAGAGAAGCGTGCGCCGTCGATGTCTGGAGGGCCGCCAATGGGGAATGGCTGAATGTTATCGCCAAAAAAAGTTAACGCAAGGTGTGGGGGGTTGTGGGGTAAATAACCGCTGGGGAGGAAAAACACCGCAGGGGTAATGCGAGAGCTGGGGAGGAGGGGGCTTTGAGGAGAAAGATGAATTAATAAATAAATGGAAGGGGGGAAGGGAAAGCGCGCCCGAGGGCACCCCGAGTCGAGGCGGACAAAGGGAGGACGATGCCGCCGCCACCGGCCCGGCTCGGTTCGGCTCCGCTGGGCGCGGAGCGGGCGGCCCCTTGG